TGGATAAAGTGGGCTAGAGGTGGCATGAATGCACCCTAAGTGTCATTCTTACAGCCAGCTGACCTGCAGTGCACAGGTAAGGATGACTTAAAACAGCATTATTTGAGTAAAACTGTTGGGTGAGGTTAGGTAGCCTTCTTTCAGCCAGTTGACCAGCAGTGTGGAGCAACAGGTAAGAAAGGGGTCATCACTGATTCACTTCATGCTTCAGCAGTGGAGAGAAAACTCCAGTCACGTTCTTTGGAATCACTTTTAAATTATTTTAATCTAATAAACAGCATCGTATAACTTGTAGTTTAAAACTGAAATTTTGATAGGCCCTAATAGGCCTACCAGAAGCTCGTACACAACCCTGCTAAAAGTTTACTGACTGCTGTAAAACGATTCAACCCATTCCTTCTTTTCGTTATCCCTCCTAATATCCAATTACGTCCATAGCAGCGGTTCATGCTGAGACTAAGTGAAATCTGTGGGTTTGGTTCTGTTAAATCCAGTGTGGCTGAGCTCAAATCAGATGGTTATTATGGAGTATCAGCCACCCGGGCCACTCAATAAGCCGCGGGAAGCGCTGTCTGTTCACGGCTCTCGCTGACATTCTCCGCCGGTATGACCGCAGTCCATTTAATGCCACCATCGATCGGCGCTGCAACGGCGCTGTGCGCAACCTTCAGGCCGGTGTTAAGCGCAGCGGCGGCCGTCTGGCAGATACGAGTCTGCGGGCACACTAAGAAGTCTCCTTCGCCACCACCTCCTCTTCCTCCCACCTTAACACTCTTTTGTCCTGCACCCACTTCCACGCGCGCACACGGCTGCGTCGAGCTCGGTTTAAAGAGCTGGGACACGGACGGAAGTTTGGGGGGTTTACACTACAAAGTAAAAGCCTTATTTTCCAATCAGTGACGTCAGACTTTGTTAAGTTGTGGCATCTTTGGTTATGATGAAGTAGATTATATCTGATCCTGTGTGGGGAGTTTGTTTCTTCTTCTTTTGCCTCAAAGCTAGAGTTTCACAATAAGAAAACACAAACTTTGAAACCATTTTTCCCATATGATATGCTAAGTAAACCAAAAATGGCATATTTTCACCATGTCATTAATACATTTATAAATGTCACATCTCTAAATATGTGACTTTTTTAAAATATTGCTAGCTAAATATTTAGCTAGCAAGCTAACCTAGCTAGCTAAATATTTAGTTAGGTTAGCTTGCTAGCTAAATATATAGGTTAGCACTAAATACTTAGCTTGGAAAATAGATTAAACATTTAGCTCAGACCTAAACCTTTAGTGTGGTATCTATTTTAATAGCTAAATACTGAATTAGCAAGTTAAATATTTAGATTGTAAACAAAATAATGAGTTGTGAATTAAATATTTAGCTTGGAATTGTAACATTTAGAAAAATGAAAAACAGCATAACACCCATTTTTTCTCTCAAGTATTTGAGGATTTTAGTTGCTTTCTGACATTTGGGGTATTTATAACCCCATCAAATAACAGGGGTACACTGGGATTTTGATACCCAATTACAAATAAACACCAGCTACATCTATCACTTGACGTTTGTATGTACAGCACAGTCAAAACATTTTTTTAAGCGATATATAAATATTAATGTAGGGAAGTAGTTTTCACACTGTTATCATGTAGAATATTAAGCCTTTCATTTAATATGACAATTTTACCTGGGAAGAAGATATTTCTAAACAGCAGTTTACATTCTTTTTTTCAGCCAACTGACCAGCAGTATGCAGCAAAAACTGTGGAAGGGGGACCTGCACAGTAAGTTTGTTTCAGTTAATGCATTAATTATTCTTATTTTTGTTATTTGTGTGCTCTTACTTTGAAAGTCTTACAAGGAAGCATTGGACTAATTATGTCTGCCTTGCTGCTGCTGAGCACCCCCCCCCCATCCCTCCCTCCTTCACCCTCTTTCTGTCTCTATTGCCATTCCGACGCACATCCCTCGCAGAGGAGCACCATCCTGGCGGAGCTGGATAGGGTGCCGCTTCTCGGGTCCCTCTGCGCAGAAGAGGACTTCACCCACCGGGGTTCCGGTACCTCGCCTCCTCCCCCTTGGGCCCCGGGAGAGCCTTCGGCGCGGAGATGCGCCCCTGGAGCGGAGCTCGCTGTCGGTAAAGTCACACAAAGAGAATGAGACTGTGAAGCGGCGCGACATTCATCACCCCGGAGGAGTAATAACGGCACCAGCCTGCATGGTTTTATATTGAGGATTTGTGCGCTTGATCGGGGCTCTAAGACCCCCCGTACCCCCTCCACCTCCTTCTCTCCTCGCCCCCCCAATCCCAGCTGAAGACATGAGAAGAAAAAGCTCTGCTGCTGCTGCTGCTGCTGCGGCTCTCTGCGTTTGAGTCTCCAGTCCGTCCGAGGGGGGTCCAGTCTGCACACCTTTCTTCATGTTGCAAGCCCCTGGTTTATGACAATGGATTACTTGCTTTGGGTGTGCAGCCTTGTTGTCCCTGTGGTCCTGGCTGTAGAAGGTATGACGTTTGATTCTTTTGTAATTATTATTATTTTTAATATCTGCTTTTTTTTGTTTGCTTGTTTGTTGGTATAAAGAATAGACTGTTTGGGGAAAAAGAAAGAAAAAACAAAAAGAAAGAGAGCCACTGTAGGAACTGAACCAGAGCAGTCCACTCCATGTCTCCAGTTTACCTGATGTTTATTGTCTCAGTGGGAGAAACCGGAGCCGCTTTTGTTTTCCTTAATTAAACCCACTAACACAGCCCAGTTGGTGGGTTAGGGGTTATTCCGTGATGACACCCCGCCCCCGGTGTTTCCGATGCGGCTTTTGGGACTTGTCCCTGTTGCTATTGTCCTTGTTGTCACACCCGCTAGCGGAGCGAGGATGCCCCACCTGCCCCGCCTATCCTCCCCACAGCTGAGGAGGTTCGGTTTCCCTCCACGGAAGGCAGCGAGGAGATGGGTGGGTGGAGGGGGGGACAGAGGAGGGGAGGGGGAGCGTCCCTCCACCGTCACCGTGAGGACGCAAATGATGCGCTCCGGAGGAGGTTTGCGCGCGCGCGCTGCTCTGTAACCGACCGACCTGCGCCGGGCCGTTGGCTCCTTAAGCACGCGCGCGCCCCGCCGGATCAATCCCGCACATGTGTAACATATTAGATGACAAGTGTGTATTAAAGGTCAATGGCTTAACAAGTGCGCTGCGGGCCCTCTCCATCAACAAGGGAGGGAGGGGAGCGTTGCCCCCAGGGGAGAAGCCCACCCTCGCCCGCTTCTCTCCGCCTCACCTCACCTCACTCCCCCTTCCTCCCCCCCCCATCCAATCTGCCTCTGCTGGACCGTGGCCAGCTTGATCCCTCATCAGTTCTGGTGTCAGCGAGTAAATCAATGCAGCGGCGGCAGCACTGAGAGTCCCAGTGGGCTCCCCACACAGAGACGATCAGCACCACCACCACCCCCGCTACCCCCCACTCCACACCCACTCTCTTCCCCAGGCCAGAGCCCGTTACTCAAAGCTCAGGGGTTAACTAATGTTTGTCCTCTGAGGATAAACATGAAGGGCAGATCATCAGATGGGTTTAAATGAGCTGGAAGACAGGCAGGCACAGCCATTTTTTTTCTTTTTCTCCTGCAGGTTGCTGTTGGCATGAATGTGGCATCCTGTTTTTTTTTTTTTTTTTTGCTAGAGTTTGTACAAAAGCTGGGAGTTTGAAGGGGAGGGATTATCAGGGGCTCTACCAAGGAGTGAGAGACACAAAACAACAACAACAAAACACACACACGCAAAAAAACAACAACAAAAAAACAAAAAAAAATAAAATAAAATAAAAAAAACAAAAGGAGAATGAAAAATACACTTTTACATTCTTGTAACTTTGTAGCTAATCGCTCAAAAATGTACGCATTCTATTGGATTTTGAAATATAAACATAGCAATTACTGATGATCTAGTTCAAAAAGCTACATTTAAAAATCCATATAAAATAGATTGCTTTTGGGGTATAGTTAAAGTATATCACAAGTTGAGTGGTTTTTCATCGCCTAACTTTTGTTTTGCTGATAAACTAATGGCAGGTGATATGGACTTTTTCCACAATATTTTCTTGTACTACTGCGATAAAAGTGACGATAAAATCCCTTTTTTTCTTTTTTTTAAGCTGTGACTGCATCACACAGCAATCATAGCCATTCAAAAACATTCCCATTTGTAACATCGTCACCTTCCTAAAATAATGGACTAAGTCATTTCTTGCCAAAAATGACATTTTTTTGTTGCCTAAAACATCTTTTGGAAAGAAAGAGGTGGATATATTTTTTGTCGTTACAAAAAAAAGACTTGGGTCATAGTTCTAGGAAGGTAACAATATTCTTCGCTAGGACACCGGTCGCATAAGGAAGTGTGATTTGAATCATGTAGTAACTACATTTAATCATAGTTTCAAATGTATTGATATTTATTGACGCTGTCACTGAACAAACAGTGGGGAAAAAAATAGTAAAACTAATGATATGAACAGCTTTGTTAGGTTTTTGAACATCGTTAATCAGAATTCATTGTGACAACCATAAATCAAAATTCTTATTGCGATAAGAAATTTACCATGATAAATGATAAACGATACGATAAATGTCCACCAATGTGACAAATGAGTCATTTGAGCGTGCTTATGATGCAAACTGCGTACAGACACACGATTTCTAATCTGTATGAAATAAGCTCATGTTAATTGCTCTTGAGGGCCCCCTGCAGGTGTGTTCCTGCCTACACAGGCGCCTCTGCCTTGGGCTGGTTCTGCTTCCTGTTTGCAGATACATTGGTGCCTTACCTCCTGTTTGCACCACCAGACTGCAGTAAAGGCCTCAGCATCTTTGACATTTTTATGTTATAATTCTCTCATTTACAGTCAGCGTTTACTGTCCTCTCATTTTAAAAGCTAATAAACCAGATGGATGAGCGCTCAGAAAGAGACTTTATAAAGCAATCTGAAGGATCTACATGTGTCTGTGTGTTTTGGCTGTTTTTTCCCCCCTCCCCCGATATCAGCAGGGGTGATCGTTCGGATTCTTCTGCTCTCTCAGTACGTCCTTATATCGAGTCAAACCGTTATTTGCTGACCTGTAAAAGCAGATTCGAGCGGCCGCAGAGAAAGACTGAATTAGGTCAGCTCAACTTGTTCAAAGAGCTTCTCCTCAAGCATCAAGCTGAGGATCAGTATCAACTCTAACCACTGTGGTTCACTGCAGAGAGATACACATTCCAGAACAAATCCAGCTCGTAGGCAGGAGCCTGTATGACGTTCTCAGTGTGATCGTCTTGATTAAAAAAATATATATTTTGACAACGTCCTGGTATTTATTAAAAAACAAAAACAACAACAACAAAAAAACAAGTGATCTAATTTCTTTGACCTAAAACACAAAAGTTACAATTAATCCTAGTCTTACTTTTCCCAAAATTGTGTCTATATTTTGTTAGTTTGATTGGAACACTAGGCTTGTCACGGAAACAAATTTTACTGGACGATAAATTGTCCCAGAAGTTACCGCGTTAAACGATAATTTTGTTGTTTTATCACAAATTTACACTGGAACTGGAAGACATTTAAAACATCCAAAATAAATAAATAATAATAATAAAAAACAAATAGAATGAACTACAAAGTCTCTGTAAACAAAATTGTCTTTTTTAAAAAAGTGACTAGTTGAGACCAAAGCACCAGACTGAAGACTTTTTTCATCTTGTTTTCGGTAAAAAGAGAGAGAGACAAGTGAAAAACGAGAAATCATACAAATATAAATTATTTAGCTCATTTTAATTCATCATGCAATTAATTGATTTATTGCGACAGGCCTATGCAATAACTTGCATTTCAAGGCTTTATTGCTCAAAATATAAATTTTATTGTTCTGCTCTTTATAGTGAAGGTCAAAAGAATAATAAGTATATATTAGCTTGTTAATTAGTCAGAGTGTCCAGTCAGACAAACAGTGTTCGCTTAATATCACTGATGGTTTGTACTCTTATTTTTCACAACTGAAAATAATTCAAAACTAGTCCTTCCTGGAAAGTGTCTGACAATCTGGAGGCGACATCACTACCTTCGTTTCCTAAGAAACTTACACGACAATCATTTGCAAAATTGGTGCACGTGAAATTTCAAGTCCGTACCAGTAGAAGTTCATGCAGGCTAGTGACGCGACTCAAGAAAGTTGCGTCACTAGCCTGCTGTTGCGTCTCGTGTGTTGGGTTCATCCCGAGTGGCAGAAAAGTTTTGTCTTTTGCTGTCGTTTGTTGCTTCTCCAAGTTTCGAGCCCATTAGGGTCGGAATGCAGTAGCGGTCTTTCAGCCATCTCAACAGCAGTGTGCAGCAAAAGCTGGAAGAGGAGCAGATCTGCCCTACAATAGCAGATTCCCCCAGAAAGTTGCAAAAAGAAAACCACTTTTACATCAATTGCACCCAGTTCAATGTGTCAGCTATAAACCTAGCTTAATCCATCCTAACTGTCACTGCTACTGGTGTATAAAAATCCCTAATTAAAATAAATGAACAATGCTTAGCCTGTAGAGGGAGGTGAAGCAAGTAAAGTCTGGTGGTCTTCCAACACACTGAGTGAAACCCTGTATAGGTTTCAAGCATTCTGCATTTAGAGGTGAGTGAAGCTTCTGGATAGTGAGCTTGATAATTAACACCATCGATATTGAGCAATTATAGCTAATGGTATTTATCCCAGTAGCATTGATTCTAGAGCATATGTCTCTGGTTCACAAGGCTTGTGTGGAGGTCAAGATTTTTGTGCTACAGTGTTAAATGTGTAGGAGGGAGTTATTTTCCAGCATCTCGTCACTCAATTGACTACTAACTGTCTTCTATTGAAATTAAATGCTGTAGACGGCAGTGTGATTGGGGTATTAGAGTGATTGCTTGGAGTCTGAGCAACAAGAAATATGTTCAAAAAACAGAATTCGTCTTTCCTGTAACCAAGAGGAAACATTACGGCCCTTTTTTCGAGGCAGTGTGCAAAAACAGGTGGGGGAAGGGCAGATACTGTGCAACTTTATGCTCAATAGTTAGAAAAAAACCCCCTAAAGTTCTTTCCCTGTAATCTAATTAAAGGACATTATAAAAAACCTTGACCCAACACACGCTGACACTCCTACAAATGCCTAAAAGCTGGATTTATTTTTCCCCATCATTGACTGTTGATCATCACTGATCAATGGTGATGATGCTATTTTCTTTCTGTGAATATTTCATGTGTTTGCTAGCTGGCTCCAAGTGTCAGTGCGATACAAGGGATGCCTCCCCTTTCATCATACCCCTCAACCCCCTCTCTCACAAAGTGAATAAAACATCAGCATGCATGAGCTCCCCAAGCACTTGGAGAATACAGAGTTGTGTGGCATTTTGGCTCCAGCAGGCGATCAGAAAAAAAAGAAAAGAAAAAAAAAAACAGCATTAAATGCCACTAGTGGTGATGCTCTAAAGTTCCCACTACTGCATTGTTTTCTTACCCTAGG